GCCCCGCCCCGCCCTGCCCCGCCCCGCACAGCCTTGTTAGCAATGAATGACAGGACAAATGAGGGGTGCGCGGATTAACCCTCCGCGAAGTCTCTCCGTGATGATGCTCGCGCATCTCGCGCGCTTGGACGGACAAAACAGGATAATACCCCGCAGAGGACCAAACTGTACCGTCATGGCGAGCCTGTGCGGATCGGACAGACGAATAAAGGCAGAAGGGGTCGCACCCCAAAAAATAAAAAAATATTGTTTTCTTTTTAGTTTTCGCTGTGTATGTAATTTCCAAAATACATCCACGAGCAATGCCCTCGACGAAAACGGCGCGTTGTTGTTACTTCTTTTTGTTTGCCGGCCGCCGCGAGCGAGATTCGAATTTATTTGAGGGGCTCTGCAGCGTCGATAAGACAAGATGTACCGTTCCGATCCGACTGTGCGTCTATACCGGTCTATACCCGAAGCGACTTACCGTTTCTTGCGCTCTCGGGGAAGAATGAACGACGAATAACGCAAACCAGCTGCGGAGCGGGACGGGGAGGGGCAGCTCGTGATTTGAGTCATTAGGCTGCAGTTGCATAAGAAGCGGCGGCGGAGACGGCAAGGATGAAAAAAGGAGAGGAAAAGAAACGGCGGAGCGCGCGAGTCATATTCCGGACGAAACTATCAAATACTGTAAAAGACTCGATGCCGTTATAGCCCTGAGGAGCGAGCCATCCGTGCAACGCACTGAGGCAGGCTAGGACTTTCTTTTCATTATTTCTTCTCTCTAATTTTCTTCTTTGCAAATGAATCGATGAGCGCGATTTAACGAGTGAATAATCGGTCGAGCAGCGGCCCCGCTCGTTGCTCGCGTCCACGTCCGCCGGGATGGATGTCTCACATGTAAATAGAGAAGGCGAATCGGACACAAAACGCGTCTCAATCCAGTCCAGTTTTATGACGTGCGCGGTGGCGGAGGGAGAGGCGATGAGGGGGGGGGGGGGGGGGCAGGGCGCGCCACGCCACCCCGCGCATGCCTAATGCTGCAACATTGTACGCCACAACAAGGAGGGGGGAGTATAGGAGCCCTAATTGCAAAACAGATTGCGAGGCTCGCCCGCTGCTGCGGCTGCTGCTGCCTTTGGGCTGCCTTTGGGCTGCCTTTGGGCTGCCTTTGGGCTGGCGCGCGCGTTTGGGCTGCCGCCTGCCGCCGGTGCTCTGGACCGCTACTGCCGCCGCCGCGACAGCCATATTTTTCGAGCATTCCGCACGCTCGTCGGAGCCGGGCCGACCGGGCCGCAGGGCGATATGACGGACGGCAATGAAATGCGGAGAGAAGTCGATCCCGTCCGGCAGGGTGCTTGCGGGCGCGCGCACGTCCCGCTCCGGACCAAAGTGCGCGGCAGGGCCGGCAGGGCCGGCAGGAGACGGCGAAAAATATAAACTGCTAGAAATATGCGCGACTCGCAGAATATTGATAACGAACAGGAGGAGATGGAGGG